TTTAGGCATAACGCACAGTTAAGGTCGTGCCTTCTCAGGAACGGGTCTACCAAATAACGATCCTCACTCCACGGTGCCAACAGTGGGGTGAGAGGCAGAATCCCACAGGCCGTGATGACGGGCCATGGAACGGTTTTTGTTAACTAATAGATCTACTCAAGATCAAACATGCCTTAACCGCACGCTATGCACGATTAAGATTGACACAGAACAGCCGATAAAAACATAACTCATTGCTTAAGATGTAGATTAGATCAATTTTAGATTAGCAAACGATGAGTTAAACAAGATATAAGGCCGATCCAGATCAATCTCAATCGGGTAGAGTGATATTGTTGTAATTAGATAAACAATAAAAGCAATAAGCAATATCGGTAACTTAATGAATCTACCAAAGACTGCCATACTAAGGTAGAGCCGATAACTTGACCTTGATCTAATTCAAGCAGTGGGGTGTGAGGCAGAATCACACAGGCCATACTTGAATTAGACAAGAGTTGATAACTAGCCTATACCAGAGTCGCGGTGGGGGTCGACCGGATCGATGCAGCCATACGAACAGAGGTATAAACCATGACGGTACTTACAGATAAGCAGTGGAGCTCGACTGGATCGATGTAGCCGTACTCGCTGAAGAACTCGCCGAGATCTACTCTACTGCTACTCCTAAGGGGTGGCCGGAGCCAAAAAAAGTAATTGACTTGTATTTGATTGATTGTTTCTTTTACAATAGCCGGGGTTTGATATTTATACCCGGAGTCTAAACATAAATCCTACTCGAGCATGATTTGCTATAATCTTTGGCATAAAATGAAAACATTCCTAATTTAAGAGAACTTAGACTCTAATCTTTCCCTTTTTTTTATAGAGTTCAGCATGTCTCATTCCAGCGCCAATCATAGCCTCTGTCGTTATCTGCTGGCGCTGTCTAAAGAAAGCCGATTTTAGTGCTGCATCCGAACCAGCTGGTTTCGATCTGCATGCAATTGATCCCTTGCTGACATGATTTTGAGAGCTCTCGAGCTTCTGAGATCCTTCTTCCAAATTCTGGTGTAAACAGGTTCATCCTTTCCTCATAGGGCTTGACCCCAGTTATTTTGAAACTACGGGGCCACTGAAGTGTTCGGAGCGCCCTCGTGAACGCTGGGTCCCTTCGGGGTTGTGGTCGGCGTCGGGATCTGCGGTGTTGTCGGCGTTGATCGGCTCGAGAGCTGAGTCCGGGTTTCCGTACTCTTGCTCGTACTCCTGGCGGCGACGTACTTCTTCTTCATGGCGACCGAAGCGGCGTTCGTCGATACGTCGTCGTGCATCTCGGAGATTGTTGAGGTGCACTCGGACGTCCTGGTTGACCTCCTAGTCATGTTGGCGGTGACGTTCGACGCGATTGCCCCTAGCTCCGCCCTGGAGGGGTTGCCTGTCGTCGCAGTGCTGGTCGGTGAAGTGACTTGGGCGGCGATCGGTTCTTGTGGCGACTGATCGGCGAATCGAAGTTGTGGAGTATGAAGGTCTCTGATCCTAGCGGATCCCATTGACCTGATAATGTGCCGCTTTAAGCATGGCGGAGACCTTGGTGACCTCAGGTGTCTGCGGGAGCCGGGCGAGTTCGTTGGCGGCCACTGTGAGATTGGTGCTTGGTGTCTTGTAGACGTCATGGCCGTCAACGCGGATAAACTCGTCATCGAGGTTGCGTTGGAGTGGCCTTCCTTGCGAGTCAAGTTGCTGCTCGGCCATCGCTAGAGCAATCTCGTTTGCTCGGCGCTGCGCGCAGTTGACGTTCCGGTTCTCACGGGCGGTGCATTCCTCCTCGGTTTTGCCGTTCTGAGGGGGGCTGTCGACGCTGACGTTGAAGATTGCGCCGCCATGGAACGAAGGTGGAAAAAGTAGTTCAGTGGTGGTTTCGGCGACGGTCTCCGTAGATCCCTGGGACTCAAAGTCCGGATTCTCCTCCAGGATGGTTTGGAGGGATGCTCCGGGACGTCGGCCGACGTGCAGCATGTTGATGGCCGGCGGGAGCTAGTCGGCGATCTAGTCGGCGAGAGGATGGATATCTCCAACCTAGTCGGGGAATTTGCCCCTTAGGGCATCTTGGTAAGTGGCGGCGGCATTGGTGAACCCGAAAGGTAGGGCCGCAGCCCTTGGAGTCTCCCGGGCAGCCTCCAATAGATCTGGATCAGAAGGTGGTCAGCGCTGAACGATAGTGTCCAGAGTTGATTCGGCGATGGAGAGGTAATCGACGAGCTTTAGACCAACCCGATCGATTGATGCGATCAGATCATCATTGTTGATCCGCTTCCTCTGGCAGCGAGGAAGCGGGCGGCGAGTCGTCGATGAAGACATCCTCGGAGGTGGTTCCGAGATCGGATCTGCAGTCGCAGGTGCAGGGGTGATCGGCGCAGAATTGATCTGCACCGGCTCGAGGAGCTCTCCGACTCCGTCAGCATTGATGATCCACAAGATCCATCCGACCGTGAAGATCTGGCCGGGCTGCGGGAGGGACGAAGAGCCTGCGGAAAAAGTCATCTTGTTTGACAAGGAAACAGCACGCACACCCCTACCTAGCGCGCCAACTGTCGACAGAATATCGTCGGCGGTCCTCCAAAGGGTATCCCACGAAGGTAGATTGATCGGTAGAGAAGCGTGTGATCAAGAATAAGAAGGCAACAGAGACACGAGTTAGACAGATTCAGGCCGTCAGTATGACGTAATACCCTACTCCTGTAGTACGTTGGTTTGTATTAGCTATCGTATGATATTGCATGAGTTTGGAGAGGGTCTCTGTCCGCCTTATATAGTCTGAGGAGCAGGGTTACAAGTCGGTTAGATCTGAGAGATAACCGGAAAGTAATAACTGATTACAGGAATCTTGAGATCATACATATCCTAACAGATCTCATAGTATCATCAGGATATCTTCCTGGTGTCTTGCAAGAGACGCCGAGCAGAGTCGTGCCCCCACAAGGCTTCGTCTTGTGGGCTGGGCCGCCCCTAGGAGCGCAGCCCATGTGGTCCGCCGTGGGTATCCGGGGTCGTACCCCCACAGAGTCTGAGCGGAGGTGGGCGTGGCGTGGGGAGGCAGAGAAACCGCGGAGAGCAGTCAGCGCCGGCCGGCGGGCGTGATCGTGCGGAGCCTGCGCGAAGAGCGGTTGATGATTGTGATAGATGAAAACCCTTTGTCAGTCACCACAGCCTAGCATGGATATTAGATAATTGGAATTTTCACTATCAATTTGGCATAAATGCTTCCCTCCATCCTGCCGCCCAACAAGAAAAGTTTATTGGCTGCACAAAGGGAAAGTGTTTCTGCAGCGGCCACACTCTCATCAGCATCAGCAGCGCAGACTGGCATAGCCATAGTTGATGTTACAATGTACTCTGTCACAAAAAGTTGAATTTTTTGGCATAGCCATAGGTCTTTTTCAAAATTTCGAAGTATGTTTTACAATGAATTTTCTCTGGGTCATTCGCACCAGATTTGCACCCATTCATCTCTAATGGGTGACGGGTCACGCGTTGTGCGGAGCGCGTGCCCCCGTACCCATGAGCCCGATGCGACCTCACGGTCCATGCCTTCCTCCTCGATCGTCCTCGTTGGAGACGAGCTCGCTGGCGTTATAGGCTTTATGGCCGGCGGCCTTAGAAGGGGAGGTGCCCGGCGGTGGTGGTGGTTCAATTGGCGACGAGCGAGGCGGCGAGAGCATCGCTGAGCGGGTGCTGTTGGACATCCGGTTGGCCTGGGTCGGTAGCGGGCGGCGAGTCAGAGCTTGCCCTTCGATTGGGATTAGCAAAGGATGGGGTGGAGTGACGAAGGTGGTATGGCGGGTGGCTCGGCCGGCGGCGAGGGAGCCGCTGCCAGGGGCGGCGGGCCAGGAAGGTGGGGTTGGGGCAGGGGAGGCATGAGGAAGACGACGGGCTTGCGTGCGAGGAAGATGATGGGGCCGGGGTTGTGCTCTCCCATATAGCACGACGCGTTAACGCGCTCCCATCAGTTGCCTTTTGAAAGAATTGGCAAGTGGGCCTTGCTTATGATGGAATACAACATAACTTGTGTACCACAAAAGGTCATCAAAGGCCGAGTTTTGGCAAATTTCCTTATTGCACATCCGGTCCTAGAGGACTCTACATTAGTCATGGACCTCATGGCAGGCTGAAATTGTCGTCAACCTCGGTTAACTAAACTTCATGTTACAGATGTGTTGCTATATTCTTTTTCATAAGCAAAACGACTACAGTTATTTAATATATACTAGTATCAATGCACTCCCTCCGTCTCTAAATATTTGATGTTTTAGGTTCAAACATAGGAATTAAGAAAGATGCGTGGTGTAAAAAAAAGGAGAGAGATAGAAGAAATAACAATAGAGATATATTGAGAAATGAAAAAAATAATGTATTGAGAGGAGAGAAAACAAAAAAAGTGCATTGAGAAGTGAGAAGGTCACACATTTCGAGACAAAAATTAAATCTTATAAGGCCAAATATTTTGAGACGGATGGAGTATGTAATCTCCTCTGAGTATGTATTTTTAACACGTGTGAGTGTGACCCCACCCGTGCCTTTTCACTTGTTGCTAAAAAAATTATAAACTTTTTCAGATAATTTATTTTAGAAAAGTAATTTTACGCTAGTGTGTTTGATTTGAATAATAAGTTGACTTAGAATAATAGCAAGGACAATCTTATATTGTCCATATGATTACTGTTCAAATGAAAACAACCTGTGCTAACTATACACAATTAGTATAAAGAATCTGAATTCCAAGCTGGAAAATAAACGAAAGAAACCAGAAAGAAAAGGGGTTACAATGAGACAGCTGAGAAAGATATACAGTTTTGCAAACAAAACTTCTGCTGTCTAGAACAGCAAGATGTAAAACTATTTCCTTCGTAGCTATGTCATGAAGTCATCAAGGAGCTAGGCACCAAAGCGCACGGCATCCCATATTTCTTCTTTAGTCGTCTGGAACGTCTTTTAGATGGCAAAACCCCCTCCATCAGAGTTTATCATGTTTTCACAGTTTCACTATCAACATGGCTTTCATTCTGAATTTGCTTTCCATTCATTTGTGTTCGTGGTCTCTGCACCGCAACATAACAATATTGCAGTTCAGGTAATAAGCAAGATATTTCAACAAAATTATAGCCATCTTGTCATGATAATTTCATACCCGATCAGCTGAATCCATAGAGTTACCATTCAGCAATCTCGTATTTTCTTCTTTCAACTTGGTATCTTTATCCTTTGAACTCACAGGAAGTACTGATGTGTATCCCACCGATCGATCAGGAAGTTCTACAGGATGAAATTCAAGTGTTAGTGACATATGGAACCACATAGGAAAAGATTACTCCAACATTGGCGTAGATTCTTTCTCACCTGTAAGCTTCTTATCCACAAAGAAAACCACCAAATTCACAGTATACCTGAGTAAGAAAGATGCATCAACAAAGGGAAAAAGAACATGGCATAATCATCCAGTTCAGTAAATATGTACTAACCATGCAACAACAACATCAACACTGTAATGCTTGCGAGAAGATATAATAAGAAGACTCTGAGCAATAGCTATGCACCAAGCAAGCATCTTACAAAACCTGACATGAATTGACAGAAAATAGGACTTAAACATCATTCAACATATCTTTCACAAATGGGCTGACATAAACAAGAAGAAATTAATTGGACAACAAATGTTCACCTTATGCTTCCATATTTCTGGTATGTTATGACAAAAACTAGGGTGAAAATCATGTGGGATGAAAATATCAAGTCACCACATCCATAAATCACTCCTTTTGGGACTGTAGTCAAATGACAGAACAAGCTCAGGCTATTTGGACATACAAAAAGAGAGGCACAATATATTGACGCATAGGGAATCACCACTTACAATTAATCAGAAGGACCTCAGCTGCATTCTGGGGTGGTGGTAATCTAGCCAGAGGTGAGCCCTGTGTATTATGAGATTAATAAAAGTATTTCGAAGTCATAATGACATAGCACATAGTAATCAACTTATAACAAAATCTGATACCTCGTGACAATGATAATTAGGTCCTGGAAGCTGTGTTGCATAGAATGTTATTATTCGAAGAAACTGAGAAGCCTGAAGAAACAAAAAAAAGTCCCAGTAAGTTTTAGAATAGAAACTAAGGTATCATCTGATCAGGAAATCACATAAAAAACTTGCAGTAAAGAAACACTTACACATAAGAAGGCAAGTACCCTGCGCCATATCAGAACAGTGTAGAAGCGTTTAGTCTGAAGGATGAAAGGATGAAATGTCCACTGAAAAGCAAAATTGACACTGTTACAATTGAGCAATGCAAAACTTGCAGCTAGGAGAAAGATTGGTCCATTTCACGGAAAAAACAACTGGAAATTGAAATCATGTTGTCACAATTGAGTTAGGTTACTTCCTTTGTAAGACGTATTTGGTTTTATAAAAGAAGGGTGTCATGTCTTGAAAGGACGCATATATGCCAAAGCAGGACGCGCGCTTGCGACGCGTCTTGCCATGGCTGGGCTGAAAGCTACTATTGGCAAAGTATGCATGGGTTAGCCTCTAGTGGCTAAAGATAGAAACTTAGATTAGTAAGTTGTTTTGGAAATTCCTAGAATCAGGGAGAGCCTTCTCCATTTCGGTTGGGCCATTGGCCATATATGCTTGGAATCGCTTGACAATCAAGGGGGGGAAGAATTATATCCCTAGTCTCTCTCTCTCTGTTAAGCCTGCGGTTGAGGGGGATAACCTCACCGGAGAAGACGGCCGACGGCTACGAACTGCGTAGCCTGCGGTCCGGCCAGTCGGGGGTTCGACGCCCTTGACAACCTGGTATCACGGTCACGTCGGTCCTCTCCCACCCGCTCCACCCATTCTTCCACAAATTTACCACCACCACCTAGCCCTCCACCATCGCCGCCGCCTCCTCCACCGCTCAAGGCCGCAGCCAGCAGCCACGAGCGATCCCACCATCGCCGATGTGATGGAGATGTTGAAATCCATCACCACGGAGATGACAACCATGAAGGCCGACATGGCGGCTATGAAGGAGAAGTCGGCCTCGTCGTCGGACAGCGGCACCGGCGGCCGCCCAGAGGGGCCGCGCGATCTTGATCGCCCCCCAAAATTCCAAAAATTGGATTTTCCCCGCTACGACGGCAAGACCGATCCGATGCTCTTCATCAACAAGTGCGAATCCTATTTTCGCCAACAGCGCACCATGGCGGAGGAGCGCGTGTGGATGGCCTCGTACAATTTGGAGGACGTCGCGCAACTCTGGTACCTCCAACTCCAGGAGGACGAGGGCACGCCGCCATGGGGGCGATTCAAGGAGCTCCTGCACTTGCGGTTCGGGCCTCCCTTCCGCTCGGCTCCGCTGTTCGAGCTCGCCGAGTGCCGGCGTACAGGGACCGTGGAGTACTCTAATCGCTTCCAGGCCCTCCTGCCTCGCGCGGGTCGTCTTGATGAGGCTCAGCGCGTCCAGCTCTTCACCGGCCGACTCCTGCCGCCGCTCAGCCACGCCGTCCGCATCCACAACCCGGAGACTCTCGCGGCCGCCATGAGCCTGGCGCACCAAGTGGAGTTGATGGAGATCGACCGCCGGCAGCCCTCCCCCTCGCGCCCAGCTGCCTCCTTCCCCGCTCCTGCGCCCGGCCAGCGCTCCAGCGCCCCAAAGAACAGCCAGCCGGCGCCCTCGCCCGGTGGCCGCCCAGCAGGTCGCGGCGAGGGCAACCAGAGGCGCCTCACCCCGGACGAGATGGCGGAACGGCGCCCGTCTGGGTCTCTGTTTTAATTGCAATGAAAAATATACCCGTGGCCATAACAGGTTTTGTCGGCGCATCTTCTTCCTTGAAGGCGTGGAGCTCGAGGACGCCGCAGACGCCGCTGGCGACGCGGAGCACGACGCCGAGGCGCCCTGTTTTTCCCTGCAGGCCGTGGCTGGGGTTCCCATGGCGGGCACCATGCGATCGCCGTGGCACTTTCGCCGCGTCCCCTCGTCGCCTCCTTGACTCGGCAAAGACGCGCTAACTTCATCTCGGAGGCGGCGCGGCGCTCCGGTCTACCCCTCCGCCAACGCCCCCGCCTCACAGCCTTGGTCGCCAATGGCGAGCGGGTCACCTGCGCCGGCGTCATCCGCGACGCGCCCCTGCTCATCGACGGCGAAGTCGTTCCGGCCGACCTCTACGTCATGCCATCGGCGGGTACGACGTCGTCCTCGGCACCCGGTGGCTCGGCGAGTTGGGGCCCATTGTTTGGGACCTCGGCCGCCGGCGCATGTCCTTCTAGCGACAGGGGCGCCCCGTCTCCTGGACCGGCGTGGCCAGCCCTCTGTCTGCGCCCCGGGCGCAATAACAGAGGCCGGTCCCTCTCGAGGCGCGCTTTGTTTCGCTTGGGGGGCTCTTCGCGACCCCGTCGGTCCGCCCCAAGCGCAAGCGCACGACCACCGCATTATTCTCAAGCCCGACGCCTAACCGGTCGCCGTCCGCTTTACCGATACCCCGCGCGCACAAGGACGAGTTGGGCGGCGCAGTCCCGCCATGATTGATCAAGGGATCGCTCGCCGCAGCGACTTCATTTCGTTCTCGTCGCCCGTCCTCCTCGTCAAGAAGCCCGATGGTTCGTGGCGCTTCGCGTCGACTACGGGCGCCAACGCGCCACACCGTCAAGGATGCTTTCTCGATCCCGGTGGTCGACGAGCTACTCGACGAGCTCCATGGCGCCAAGTTCTTCACTGTCGGGACCTCCGTCCGGTACCACCAGTCTTGCGCATGCGCCGGAGGACGGTGCACAAGACGGCGTTCGCACTCCACGACGGCTGTCAGACGAGTTCCTCGGTGATGGCGTTGGGCCGTACAACGCCCGGGCGACATTCCGAGCCTTGATGAATGACGTGCTCCACCCGCTCTGCGCCGCTTCATCCCGGTATTTTTTGACGATATTCGATTTACTGAGAAGACGTGGGCTGATCATCTTCGCCACCTCGGGCGTCCTCGACGAAACTACGCCGCCACCAACTCTTCGTGAAGCGCACCAAGTGCTCTTTTGGTGCTTCCTCCGTCGCCTACCTCGGCCATGTCATATCCGCGGCGGGTGTGGCCATGGACCCGGCCAAGGTGCAGGCGATCCATGATTGGCCGGCTCCACGTTCGCCCCGGGCTGTGCGCGGTTTCCTCGGCCTCGCCGGGTACTACCGCAAGTTCGTCCACAACTACGGGCGATCGCTGCACCACTGACGGCCCTACTCAAGAAGGAGGGTTTCTCCGAGGACGCGCGCGGCAGCGGCATTCACAGCGCTCAAGGCCGCCACACGTCCGCCCGTCCCCTCGCCATGTCCGACTTCGCCAAGCTGTTTCACCGTCGAGTCGCGACGCGCGTCGACGTTCGCTTTCGGCGCGGTCTGGTCCAGAGGGCCATCCGGTCGCTTCTTCAAAGAAAGAGCTCGTGGCGCCTCGCCACCGCTCGCTAGCCAGCCTACGAGCGCGAGCTCATCGGCCTCGTCCAAGCGGTACGGCACTGGCGCCCGTATCTCTAGGGGCGGCGCTTCATCATCAAGACCGACCACTACAGCTTGAAGTACCTCCTCGATCAGCGCCTCGCCACGATCCCTTAGCACCACTGGGTCGGCAAGCTCCTGGGCTTCGATTTCTCGGTGGAGTACCGGTCGGGCGCCACGAACGTCGTCGCCGACGCCCTCTCCCGTCGCGACAATGACGAAGGGGAGGTGATGGCTATTTCGGCGCCCCGCTTTGACTTCATCGAGCGCCTCCGCCACGCCTAGGCCACTGATCCGGCCCTGGTCGCCATCCACGATGAGGTCCGGGCTGGCACCCGCACCGCTCCGTGGGCGCTGGTGGACGGCATGGTCGCCTTCGACGGCCGCCTATACATTCCCTCGGCGTCGCCGCTGCTGCAGGAGATCTTGGCCGCGGTCCACAACGACGGCCATGAGGGCATCCACCGCACCCTCCACAGGCTCCGGCGGGATTTTCATTTTCCCACCATGCGCGTTTGGTGCGAGATTTCGTGAAGACTGCGTCACTGTCGGCAGATAAGTCCGACCACCTCGCGCGGGCCGGTCTGCTGCAGCCCACCGCCGGTTCGTCTGGCATTGTGGGCTGACATCGGCATCGACTTCATCGGGCGCCGCCCAAGGTGCAAGGCAAGACGGTCATCCTCTCCGTCGTGGATCGCTTCAGCAAGCAATCGCCATTTCATCCCCTCTCGGCGCACCCTACACCGCCGAGTCCGTCGCTCACGCCTTCTTCGCCGACATCGTTACCTCCATGGCGTTCCGCGATCCATCGTCTCGGACCGCGATCCGATGTTCACCTCGGCGTTCGGCGAGAGCTCATGCGGCTCATCGGGGCGAAGCTCTACATGTCGTCCGCCTTTCACCCGCAGACGGACGGCCCGCACCGAGGCCGCCAACCGGGTCATCGTCATGTACTTGCTTGCCGCTTCACCGGCGACCGTCCCCGGCGAGCGGCTCCGTTGGCTCGCCATGGGCGGAGTACACCTACAACACCGCTTATCGGTCATCGCTCGCGAAACTCCGTTTACAGATAGTCTATGGCGGGACCCCCGACCATCCGCTCCTATGAGCCCGGCGAGACCAGCGTCGCGGCAGTGCCGCCCAGAGATGGAGGAGCTACCGCTTTCCTCGGCGACATCCGCTATCGCCTTGAACAGCACAGCGGTCCAGAAGCGCGTCTCGACCACCAGACCACAGTGGGTGTCCTTCCGTGTCGGCGATTGGGCTCTTCTTCGCCTTCGGCGTGAGCGCGCAGATCCTCCCACGCTCGGCAAGCGGGAAGCTCAAGCCGCGTCGTCGGGCCGTACCGGTGGCGGAGCTCATCAACGAGGTGGTCAGTGGCGGCTCTGCTTCCTCCCCAAGCTTCGCCTTCATGATGTGTTCCACGTCGGCGTCCTCAAGAAGTTTGTCGGTACCCGCCGCCCGTTCCACCCTCGCCGCCTCCGCTCACGACGGTCTTTGTGGTGCTCGCACTGCCGGGTGACTCGAGCTTGGCTGGCCCGGAGTCGCCAGTGCTCGTTGAATGGCGGGGAGAACCACCTGCTTCGCTACATGGGAGGATCTCGACGACCTCGTGTGCTCGGTTCCTTTCCTTTCATTTCGGGCGAGCCGGACTTCGAGGCGGGAGAGATGTCATGTCCGAACGCACATATGCCAGGGCGCGACGCGCCACACGCTTGCGCCTTGGCGTGGTGGGTCGAAAGCCCTTGAAAGCTGGCAAGGCAAAGGCATGGGTTAGCCTCTAGTGGCTAAAGATAGAAACTTAGATTAGTAAGTTGTTTTGGAAATTCCTAGAATCAGGGAGAGCCTTCTCCATTTCGGTTGGGCCATTGGCCATATATGCTTGGAATCGCTTGACAATCAAGAGGGGGAAGAATTATATCCCTAGTCTCTCTCTCTCTGTTAAGCCTGCGGTTGAGGGGGATAACCTCACCGGAGAAGACGGCCGACGGCTACGAACTGCGTAGCCACGGTCCGGCCAGTCGGGGGTTCGACGCCCTTGACACAGGGTTACCTCCGTCAAAATTTATTCTTTGAGTTAGGTTAAATTTGCAGATTTGAACACAAAATAGATCCATTTCAGGAATAGAACAAGAAAATTTGGTAGCCATAGGAGAATGCAAATGTGAGTAAAGAGTACATTGTGAATAAAGCATGGCATAGTTATTCGTTAGGTAGACATTGCAAAGTTATTGATTGGTTTATTAAAAACAAATAACCAACTTCTAATGTGCAATCATGGCCATCTACCCTGATTGGAAGGGAAAATAAGAAAGACAACAAAAAAAGATGAGTACCAATACAAAGGTGAGGAAGATGAATGTAAACAATGTCTCACTGATGTAACCCCTCTCTTTCCCAAGCTCCTACATGAAATTCAGGAGGCCAAAAACGCAAATTAGTAAGCGTCACCAGTATTGAATTATAGTGATAGATGTTGTGCATTGGTTGGTTCTCAACCAATCTGTAGACATACTGGAAGAATCATGAAGCCAAGATCTTG